ACTACTGTGGGCTGGAGCAGTGGCTCTTGCAGAAGACCCAGGTTCAGTTCTCAGAACCCGCATGATGGTTCACAACCATCTATAATTCCAGTTCCAGGGGATCCAACACCCTCTGCTGCGCATCAATTCATGCAGGCAAAACGCTCATAAAATTTTTTAAGAGGCCGGGCGGTGGTGGCGCACACCTTTAATCCCAGCACTCAGGAGGCAGAGGCAGGCGGATCTCTGTGAGTTCGAGACCAGCCTGGTCTACAAGAGCTAGTTCCAGGACAGGCTCCAAAACCACAGAGAAACCTTGTCTCGAAAAAAAAAAATTTTTTTTTTTTTTAAGAAACAAGAGTACTGTGTGCTTTTGGAAGTGCATACTAACTTGTAGATGAAAGAACATTACCAAGTTTCTCAGTAGTTGCCCCAAAAATTTGAGGGGAAGGGTGGGTTTTATAACTTGGAATATCAATTTTATACTTCCACTGATAATTTGATGAGTCTTTGAGGCTTCCTGATTTGTTTTATTTCTGTCTTGAAGTCCTACTTTTTTCATATTAATTTAAATTTCTTATGAATAACAATTGTTTTTCCTAAGTTGCCAAATAAAGTGGGTAAAGATGTTAAAATACTGATCAGAGAATTCCCACGCTGTAAGTTTCTCAAGAAAAATACAGCACGTTGAAGAACTTAATATATTTTTGCCCAGTGTAGTACTCTGTACCTCCATTAGCATTCAGAGGGGCAGTGACTGGTTTTTTGTAAAGAACATGTTTCTGCCTTGATGTTTTAACTGATTTAATTGTAAAATGTCTCTATGCCCCAGTGCCTCTTTAAAATGGAGACGAGAAGACCACCTGCCCTGTTATGTTTGCTTGATCTAGGTGAAAAATATGTTTGTTCTTTTTTATTTCTTTATTTTTTTTATTTATTTTGTATGCATGTGGGCTCACACGTGCCATGGCATTTATATAGAGGTCAGAAGACAACTTCTGGGAGTCAGTGCTCTCCTTCTACCCTGTGGGCCTGAAGGATGCAACTCAGGTGGGCAGACTTAAGAGCAGGTGCTTTTTACCAGTTGAAACATCTCATAGGCCCTTTGTTTTTGATTTCTAATACTTTGTAATATGCCCCCCACCTTGTCCGTTTAGTGTATGTGGTTTAGTTTTCAAAAGTTCAAGCTTTAAAAAAAAAGAAGAAGCCCTAAGTAGTATAAAGGTCACAAGGGTGTGGTGATGCACACACTCAGTCCAGCACTTCTTACAAGATTGAGGTTAAATGTGATCACCTGACAGCCATGAAGACCGTCTCAAATGCCAAGGCTGCTTTAAAGGTGGAGTGAAATAATCGCTTAGGACAGTCCCTGCTACTGGTGCCGAACATAGAGCAGGGGGATAGTAAGTGAATTTGGTTTAGAAACATTGTAGAAAACGTTATAGCTGAAAGATTCCAGTCTCGCTGGAAACACCCACAGAAGAATGGATAAACCATTAATATTGGAAATCCAATAACCTTTGGAATTATTATTCAGTAACCTAAGAATTCCACTTGATTGTGTGAATCTTCATGGGAGAGATCCTCTGAGAAACGTAGCTTCACTTACTCTTGGTTGGTTTTGTCCCTCCCAGATGTCTCCATCCCTGAAAGGTCCAAGCTTAAATTTGTTGAAAGGGTGCCACTTGTGCCAAAAGTAAGAAGAGAACCTAAAAATCTGAAGGACATACGCGGACCCTCAACTGAAGCCACTGAATTTACAGAAGGCAATTTTGCAATTTTGGTGAGTGATAAGAGATTAACAAAGTTTTCCACTCTTTGAGTTGATTCTTGTCTCTTCCTCCACATTCTTAGAACTGCCACACCTAGATACCACATTTCAGTTCTTTAAATAGGTATAGGTCGTAGGGTTGAAAACACAGTAGTCCTGTACTGGAAGCTGGAGAGTGTGGATAGTACTGAATCTGTACAAGCCCTGTGATGCTGTCACAGTGAACCTGATAAACCAGTGGCTACTAAGAACCCCACAGGAGGTAGCCTATACAACAGGTATACACTGAACAGACAGTTGATTCATATCTAGGTGGAACTGTGTAGAACAAGATAATGTTTGGGTTTTTTGTCTTGCTATTCCAAAAAGTGTTTAGTTTAAAATTATAAATTGTTTCCACCAGGATCTCCACTTTCTGTTTCAGATGGGGACTACAGGGGGTGAGTAAGGCACCTGGGAAAGCAGGGCGCAAAGGGGCTGCCTCGTTTGCCCAGTTAGAACAAGATCTTTTAAGCCTTTGGTGAAATATTCCTGGTAGAGGATTAGAACAGCTGCTTCATTATCTGTTGAGTGGTTTCCGTAAAGATTAATGTCAGAGACACACAAACGGATATGCACTAGCATTTCTGCTCCACGGCAGCCAGAGTGATAGCTGTAGAGTTTCCCCCCGGCCTGCATGAGCACTACTGCAGACCTCAGAGCCTTCTGTCCACTCTGCCCTCCTCCTGCACCCCAGCAAACACTGGCTTCTGCTCTAACTCACCAAGCCCTTTGCTGTACCAGGGCATTTACATCAATGTTTGTCTGGGACCCTCCTCTCTTGACTAGTTCTTAGGATTCTATCCTCAGCTTTCCATAAGAACTTATATGTTTATTTTCAAGTATATCATTAAAGCCAGTTACTATAAAAAGAGGCAGATAATAGACTCTGTAAAAGATTTCTAAATCCCCATGTGTTCTAATTTTTCTATTCATTTTTAGGCACTAGGAGGTGGTTATCTCCACTGGGGCCATTTTGAAATGATGCGCCTGACAATCAACCGCTCTATGGACCCCAGGAACATGTTTGCCATATGGCGAGTGCCAGCCCCTTTCAAGCCCATCACTCGCAAAGGTGTTGGGCAGCGCATGGGGGGAGGCAAAGGTGCCATTGATCACTATGTGACCCCTGTGAAGACTGGCTGCCTCATAGTAGAGGTGGGTGGACGCTGTGAATTTAAAGAGGTCCAGGGTTTCCTGAACATGGTCGCCCACAAGCTGCCCTTTCCAGCAAAGGCTGTGAGCCGTGAGACTCTAGAAAAGATGCGCCAAGATCAAAAAGAAAGAGAACATAACAACCAAAATCCCTGGACCTTTGAGCGCATAGCCACGGCCAACATGCTTGGCATACGGAAATTCCTGAGCCCGTATGACTTGACACAGAAAGGGCAATATTGGGGCAAATTCTACCTGCCGCAGCGTGTGTAGAGGAAGCACAGACTCCTGAAACTGAGTCTGCGTCTCTGCTGTCTTTAGGGTCTGGTGATTCTTGGATCGTAACTGGGCACATGAGCAAGGGACTTGTGAAAAGCTGTGCTGTCAGATTGTTTCTATTAAAGTGTGAGTGTAACTCGAGGTATTGCATTGGTCATTTTCAGATGTTTAAGAACGAGCCGGGCGATGATGGCACACACTTTTAATCCCAGCACTTGGGAGGCAGACGTAGGAGGATCTCAGTGAGTTCAAGGCCAGCGTGGTCTACAGAGCGAGTTCCAGGACAGACTCCAAAGCTACACAAAGAAACCCTGTCTCAAAAAACCAAAAAAAAAAAAAAGAGATTAAGAATGATTTGGCATAGCCAGCTGTGTTGGAGCATGCCACTAATCCCAGCACTCAGGAAGCAAAGGCAGGCCATCGAGTTCAAAGCCAGCCATGCTACATGCAAGATCTTGGCGGGGGGACCCTGGTAGGACGTCTCAGTTCCTACACTGTAGCATGCATGTCTCCAGGGCTGAAACTTGTTTTTCTATCTCACAGCTGGAAATGTAAATGTGTTTACTGCCTAGTTTATGACATTTTGCTAATTACAAGCACGTTTTTTAGAATAATAAAGATAAAAATGACAGTACGTAGATTAGTAGGTTCAACAGATATTTATTAATACCCAGCTGCTCATCTTCTGTCAGTCTCAGAAGGGGAAACATGGAATATGACAAGGAATGTACCATTTAGCAAAAAACTGATAACAAAAGTTGAAACCTTTGGCGCTTCCTAGGTCTGAAACTATCTAAGGAAGGACATTTTGGCTCTGTGTTCCTTCAGGATCTAATGTGTGTGGAGCAAACAACTTACTGCTGGATAAATGAGGGTCCTGTGTGATCCAAAACCTCGTGGCTCCAGCTCCATTTGTATGTAACAAGATTAACCTGTTTTTCTGAGCTAGCCAGTATCTCCTATTCAAACTAAAGGAAGCAGGAACTGGTAGAAGTATTAGGTCACTGGCTTTTGAAGGTGGGTAGAAAACAGCACACTGATGAAACATAGGGGTTTTTATCCTGTTTGTGAAAAAAATAACATCTCCAACAAAGAACAGAAGTATTTCACTTACTTTCAAAAGGATATTTTTAGTCCCAGATTTTTAATTTATCTTAATGAGTGTCTTCAATATAATAATCTCTAAATAAATATTTTTAAAATCGAAACACAGTGAAACCTTAGATTGGAGATGTGCTTGAACCAGTTCTTGCACCTGTCACTGACCAGCCGTTTCTGCTAACACGGATCTGGTATGGTCGGAAGCAATAGCCTGATCACACTTTTTTCCCTTACACCTCCCATTGTTCCAGATCACAAAGTGTGCTGGTTTGGTTGACTATTGGGAACTGAATCATAGTATAAACTTCTTCCTTTTGGTGAAGTTAATGAACCTCCATCCTGAAAGCAACCACCATCTCTGCCAGATGAGAGTCTATTGATAGAAATCTATACCACCAATAGAAACCCAACTTCTACTTACCCCCACACACACATAGAAAGACACTTTAAAGAGTATGATATGGGGGCTGGAGAGATGGCTCAGAGCTTAAGAGCATTGCCTGCTCTTCCAAAGGTCCTGAGTTCAGTTCCCAGCAACCACATGGTGGCTCATAACCATTCGTAAGGGGGTCTGGTGCCCTCTTCTGGCCTGCAGGCATACACACAGACAGAACACTGTATACATAATAAATAAAATATTAAAAAAAAAAAAAAAAAAAAAAAGAGTATGATATGGTAACGGGGGTGGTTGTAGTACTTTTGCATAAGCCTCTGATAGCAATAAACCATGTTCCCTATGATACCTTAAAGAGTTTAAAAACCAGGCTTGAGAACTCTTCCATGAATGAAATCAAAGCTCGACTACAAGTAAGCGAGTATGTGGAGGTGGCAGGCACGTGCTAAGCAGTGGGGACATGGTGGTGGTAAAGACAGGCATGGTGCCAATCCTGAAACAGTCTAGGCTTCAAAATTATTCTTGGACCCTGAAGAAGGAAGCAGAAATGTGGTTGGCTACGGTTGAGGCCTAGAAGAGCCTTAAGAGTAAAGTACTGAGTACCGCATTCTGAGAGACAGACTCACAGAGTGCACTGAAGACCCTGTGAATTTGGCATTATAATACCTGCCTCTTCACTGTCCTGGCATTCTGGCTCATGTTGTACCCTAGCAGGGGCCCATTATGCTTCTCTACCACACAGGCCTGCCCTTCAAGAACATCCAAACCAGCTGCACATTGCTGTGCTCCCTGTTTCTCATCCATACCACCTTCAATTCATTTCTTCCCCCTCTGTGTAACATTGAAAAGCAGTTGATTGGTGCCCTGTGTTGTAAGTTTACTAATGAAAAGAGGCAGAGTTGTCGAGGACTCTGAAGGGAGAAGTGACGGCACCAGAGGTGGAAGACTGGAGATGCCTGTTGAGATTCCATCTGTGAGAGCAGAAAGAAGTAACAGAAAATGGAAAGAAAAACCATGTATTACACAGCATGGTACTCATGGACAGAATACCAACTCTCCATTGCAGGGGTGAGAAACTACTCTCAAAACTACTGGCTTGTCCTAACCTTGGAAGTGGGAGATTTTAAGGCAAGTTCAATGCAAAAATTAATTCTTACTCCTTTTACCATTTCTAAATACAAGGGCTGAGATTGTACAAGAGGAATGAACACCCTTACTGTTCAGAATCACTATCCTACCAGACTCAATCATGGGGCCGACTCCTACCTTGTCTCCCATCTCCCTGACTACCTCCTCCCAATCATTCCTCACCTATGTCTCCCAAAACATCCCTTTCCTTTGTGTTCTCTACCATTCACCTAGTCCTGCGCCCACCCCCACCCCTAATTAGGCAATCTGGTGACATACAATGAAAGCAAGGAGAATATAAGTGGTTAAGTAAGAGAGACAGCAGGCCTGACCCCCAGGCCCCGGCCAGACAGCTCACCTTTTTCAGGCAAATATGCCCCCAATGGTGGAAGCCAAGATGATGGCAAGGATAATACAGCAGATCATGATCATGATCTTCTTCTGCTCATCATAAGGAGAGAGAATGACATGAGAAACAGCATCACTGTGCAGATACACACTACGAAAGGGGACAGGTACAGCTAGACACGGGAGAGGGAGGAGACAGGAAGCGCCAGAAGGAAAATGGATGGATCTGGCCTGTTCACAGGAATGTTTCCAGGTTAGACTTAAAATCATATCCACAGGGATCTGTGGCTTGCCCCTTCTGCCTTCTGGATAGCATCCCAACAGGTCCCCTACTTCCTACTAGATCAAATTGAGTGACAGTCTCTTCTGGGGCACCAAAAGTCACCACATGGTGACACCAAATCACCAAAGTGTTTTGCAATCAATATAAAGTCATTTATTTTTAAATTAGCAATAAAATAATCAAGTTTACATTTAAAAAAATACAAACAACAAAAGCCCTTCACATGTGACATTCGTTTAGAACTTTTATGCCCCCGAACTCATGGTCAGAGGAGAGAGAAGGCCTGCACTGAGGGTTATCTCCCCTCCTTGCTGGGGCCCTTATCCAGTCAGACATCACAGCCATAGGGAGGAGGGCATCCCTGTGGCTCTGTCTTGAGTGCTGGGTGACTGAAGAAAGAGCCTTTACAAAGGAAGCTCATGGGCAGGATCTGGATTAGAATATTCACCCTGACCCACAAAATATTAAAGTTGGGTCTTAATTATCCAATCAGGGTAATGGCAGGAACCACCAAAGGTGTAAGGCTTACCACTGGGTTGCAATCACTAAAGACTTCCAGGCTGTTGCCTCCATGGTAAGACTCGCAGGAGACAAGAGAGCAGGAAGAGCTGCTCTGTAGCCTCCCAAGTCTCCTGCCAGAGAGGGACATCACATGGATAGTGCAGATAACATCAGGTAGCTGCAGGATGCTCTCTGGACCACTCTCTTGTAGGCAGCAGGTGGGAATAAATAAATATTACACTCTCTGTTATGCAGAAAAATTCAATGGGAATCAACTCGGTCCTTACTCCAAAGGTCTCATTTGATTCCCGTCTCAGCAACCATCCAGAAAACAAGCTCTGGGCTGGCAAGGGGAAATCACATTTCTACAGTGATCACTTGAGCTAGACACATGCCCCTTACTGATTTTCGCCAAAGTCTGTTGTTTACCTTCTCACTTTTTTCTTTCTTTCTTTCTTTTGAGAACATAGTAGTTCTAGAGGCAGACAAATATGTACATATCTCTCACATACAATTATAAAAGTACACCTGGAACACACAAATGACTGACACTTTCAGAGCCTGAGACTGTAGCACCTTGTCCCTGGCCCAGTTGTAAATCCCTGGTTCTGCTTGGACTCAAAGTAATGGCTTCACGAAGAACGATTCTCTAACAATGATTAGCCAGTTTCCAAGACTCAGACGTGGAAGCGTATTCCATAACCTCAGTCTCTGCCAACCTCAGCCTCAGAGGACTATCACCCTGATCACTCTGAGTAAATGAGCGAATACAGAGAAAATTCAAAGTGGCCTGCAAGCTGAACTGGGAGCTTAATTAAAGGGTGGGTTTCTAATAAGTCAACTTAGAAGGCCAAAATGGCTTCTGTTAGTTCCCCGTGCTTTCAGGACATAGGACAACAAACTAAGGACTGGCGTCTTGCCAGCTAGGGGCTCTGATTCAAGCCACACTACTGACAAACTTAGAAAAACCCCACTATTTTGTTAGTTACTCCCCTACAAAGTATATTCCAGGAGAATGTTCTATGAGGTAGAAAAACAGCGCCTCAGGCTGGTCTCACAGGGACTTTCCGACACACAAGGCATAACTGACACAGTAGAAGGGAGGAAAAGCTGGGTGCCTCACACAGTCCAGGAGGGAGGGTGCTTCAGCTGCTAGGGTGGGAGGTGATTCTGAGGAGAACTCAGGGCTGCACCAGGTAGGTTAGATTCCTCCAGGGGTAGGTTGCTGAGCCAGGTCCAAGGGCGGTTACAGGGAAATAAAGGAACAGGTGCCCTCGTTCTCAGGCCATTAGGACTCCATTCCCATCTGGAGACAAGAGTGGTCAGGCCAAGCTGGAGTGAAATCAGGTTCTAAGAGAGGTGGGGAGAAGGGGGCAGATCAGTACACAGGACAATGCTAAAAACAAGGAATTAGCCACAAACCCCAAATGTGGAGATCAAAGATCAGAAATGCCTACAAAAAAGCATGCAGAAGTAAACACTAAACTGAAATAGCCCAGAAACAAACCTAAGGCTGGACATGTGAAATAAAAGATCTGCATGGTAAAGAACCAATAAAAACTCTAGGCAGTGGTTCTCAACCTTCCAGTGCTGCAACCCTTAAATACAGTTCCTCATGTTGTGGTGACCAAACCCCCAACAAAATTATTTTTATTACTACTTCATAACTGTAATTTTGCTAGAATTGTGTTTTCTCATGATCTTATGGGGGTTGCAACCAACAGGTTGAGAATCACTGCTCTAGGTAAAGGAACCATGGTGGTGGTAGTGGAGGGGGATACCAACGATAGAATACATGTACCATGAAAGGAGAACAGAAAGCTACTGGGGTTGGGGATCCAGCAGGAAGCAGGAGGATCCAGGGTAGGAGGATTAACAAAAAATACACACATGACATAATGAACCCCATTACTTTGTATACTAATTTTAAAAGTATTTCAGTTATTTAAAAGTAAGACCAAGAAATATCTAGGCCACTTATAAGCCTTTGTGCCACAAACTAGCACCTGTAGAAGAACTTGGGGATACACAATCACTAGTTGAAAACACCAGTCCTCTGCCTGGCACATGGGAGCTCTTGAATTCAAGCTTCAGAAGCATCTTCTATCCAAATCCCCTCCCTTCACATAAGAAGGAGACAGGCACAATCAAAAGACTGGAAAATCTCAGGTGTTATACTATGACTGTTTCATCTTAGAAGTGATTTAAGAGTGGGCAAGTTTCTCCAGTGGCTTTCTGGAAGTGAGGGGCACGGAACACACCTTGGCACTATGGCCGGCATGCAACCGCAGAATGTAAACACAGATTGCCCTCAGTCATGAATTGGCATGGAAGACTCGTAAGCCAAGACCCAGGTGCCAATCAACCTTGCCTCCCGCAATAAGCCACGTAACTTCAGAGCAACTTAATGCTGTGCAGTCTGGTTAGTCTGCAAAAAGCAATATTATCTTCCTCAAAAATGCGTCTTCTGCATTCTGAATTCTAGGAACGAGGATTAAGAGGCATCAAGAATTTGCAAGGCATCTTTCATCTGAGGATATGGAAATATTACATTAATTTTTATTATTTTACCATATTTTGCATTGAGATAGTCAAGACTGAGCAGAAGACTAAAACTTTATAAATAATCAAGGACTATAATGCTGCCAGGAAAAAGAGAAGGGATCAAAAGAACCAACGAGAGCTTGATTGCCTCCCTGCTGCTGTCTCTCCCCGTAAAGCTGAGCATCTGAGATTTAATAATTGACTCTCAGATCCTCCAGTCACATGGAAAGAGGGAAAACGCAGTGGCACACTAGGGTGGTACAAAGTGAAATGCAAGATCAGCCCCAGTGTCAACATCCAAGCCTGCACCAGCTCCCAGAGAGGTTCATGCCTATTACCTCAGTAATCTAATTTCTGAATTTATAGAAAAAAAGAAAAATACAAAGCTCATCACATTTAATGACAGCAAAATACTATAAACTCCAGCACTGAGGAAATGTTAAATGTCCTCATGTTGAGAATTAGATTTACAACAAGATTTTAGTGATAAAGAGTGACTTTATGATTTCCTACCTAGGTAAAAACACTATATGTTAATACAGTGTGAACTATGCAAAACGGAGAGTGTGTGAGCCTGCCATGTGTTTGGACAAATAATATTACAAATAATATTCACCTGCCTATATCTTACAAGCTTTTCAAAATGATACTCTGTTTTATTCAGAAAAAAAATAAAGCTCTTAAGTCCCAAGGACTACTAGGTCATTTTTATCATGATCACTGAAGTTAAGCCTAAGTTACTGGCCAGCTATATCTTAATAAGTTGTGACTGATAGCCTCGAGTTCTCTGGACTTTATAGACAATGATAAACACTACCATATTTTATGAAGGAAACTAGGGTGGAGCACCTCCTAGGCCCACTATAAGCTGTGTGAGTTTGGCCGTTCTCTAAGACTTGAGTTTTTCTACTTCTAAAATAAAATGACCTGCCTCATAAGAATGTCGGAAGGATTCTGTTATATGTATAAGGTGTTTAGCAGACTCTCTGCTATGAGTCAACACTTAAAAATGTTACAGGTACCTCATTCAAGAGCCAGTCATTCAGCCATAAACATAACTCTTAAGGGCCAGAAGCCACAGCATAAAGCTTCAGATATGTTGAAAAAGGACAAGGAAAGCTGAGCCCAGCATCTATGACGGCACTGAGGATTTAGAAGACAGCTCCCAGATCATACCCAACATCTACCTATGCTTTCTACATACAGACAGTCAAAAGGAGATGCCCAAGTGTGCCAAGCAAGAAGACAAGGTAGGAACAGAATATTCAGGCAACTACAAACAAACAGAAGGCGTGACCACGATCCTACAGCTACAGCCAGAACCCAAGAACAGAATTTTAAGAACATGAAAAACAATCAAGGCTACCAACAGTTTTAAAGGTCACCGTGACTGTCATTAGAAAAGAGCAGAATCATGAAATCCCAGACCAACTCCGCAGGAGGAATCATCCAGAGTCTCCAGAACCACTCATCCCAGACTGACTCCGCAGGAGGAATCATCCAGAGTCTCCAGAACCACTCATCCCAGACTGACTCCGCAGGAGGAATCATCCAGAGTCTCCAGAACCACTCATCCCAGACTGACTCCGCAGGAGGAATCATCCAGAGCCCCCAGAACCACTCATCCCAGACTGACTCCGCAGGAGGAGTCCTACAGAGCCCCCAGAACCACTCATCTACTTACATTTCAGTGCAGCGACCCCATAGGCCACTCTACTTCAGCCCAACGGACAGTCCAATAATCAATGCTAAAATGCTCAGCAACACAACTACTATCACAATGATAATTATCAATTTCTGGAGAAAGGAATAAGAAACAAAAATAAAATCATTACAAAAAAGTTTATAAAATAGCAACTCATCTAAAATTTAGCCCTTCTCATCTCTTTTACCAAGGAAAAAATTTTCCTCAATCCAAATAAAAAATATACATCTCTATATAAAAATTTTCTCATGTACATTTTACATTCCTTAAATTCCTTTTTGCCTAGCCAGTGAGTTGAAATGTGAAGTGCCTACAGCTCTCAGTTCATAGGCTTGCATATGTGCACTCATGGCAAGCTATATCATGAGGTCTCCAAGCAGCACGTGACCAATCCGTAAAACATATGTTTGCCTTTTCAACAGGGAGCACAAAGGTATCTCTGACATAGTCCTAATTACCAACTTGTATTCATCTGTCCCCTTAAAAGTCCAGAATATACCTCAGACTACATATACTATAGGCGTCCAAAGTGCAATTTAGCATAGATTCAGAAAAAAAATAATTTGCCAGTTCCCTGAATAGCTGCAGAAGCAATAGGAACAGTTGGAAGAGAAAGAACAGCTGGAAGAGAAAGCAGTTGGAAGAATAAAAATATCAGAGCCCAAGAGAAACAAAGAAGAGTAAAGGGCAGAAGTTGCCATAGCTGGATGTCCACAGTCAGTGAGGACAGAAGCTTCGAAGTTCTTGAGCACAAGGCCAGGAGGGCAGGCAGACACAAAGATACAGTGGAAAGAGTATGAGTAGGCTGTGAATGTCAAGCTCATCTCCTGGACTGCTGGGTGGTCTGAAGCCAGCTACTGACCCTCTGACCCTCAAATTGCTTCATCCAGAAGTAAAGAAAGGAGGTGTTTCCATGAACGAATGGTAACTTTTACATAACAATTAGCATCTGCGCTAGGTTCAAGTTAGAGAAAAAGAAAAAGAATGGCAAGCCAGGTGGAAGACGGGATCCAAAGATCCGAGGAGCTGTAAGGTTAATAAGCTACATTCAGGAGATTAGTGACAAGACCTAGGCCATGTCTCCAGCCTAAAGGGGTGCTGTTGGTTCTTGGGACAAAAGCATGTGAGAGCCAGATCCATGCAAGGTACGCTGGGAAGGAAGTCTCTAGGAAAGACTATGGTAGAGGTTTGGAAGAGGTAGGACAGAGAAGGACTTGGGCTCAAGGACAGAGGCATAAAGGTGACAAAAGACAGGAAGAGAAGGTACAACAGAGACAGGCGCTCACCCTCCGGGCTTCACTCTGATACTTGACAGCCTTTTTGGTATCTGCCACAGCCCGCTCCACAAAGCCCACTGACTGGTCCATGTTGCTCTCAATACGATCAATCATGGCTCCCTTTCCCCAGATGCAGCATGTGGTGGCAACAGAAACAGACAGAAGAAGGGGAGAGGAAAAGAGCAGTAGCAAACAAAATGGGCTCTCTTGTCTCGAGACAAAAGGAAAGCCTCACCTTCCGAGCCTGACTCTGATACTTCACGGCTTTTTTGGTTTCATCCCGTGCCTTCTCCACATGGTCCACGGTGTGCATGACATTTAGCTCTATGTTATCTAACATTTCACCCTGAAAAGGAGACACAGCCACACCTGTTAACCCACCCACAACAGCCCCAGCAAATGTGGTGAAGGGACTCACTAGTCTTCCATGCTAAGTCACACACAGAAACCTTAGGGCACGGCCTTCCATCGAGCAAGCTTCCCATTTTCCCAGATGACCTGTAGTCCCCAGTCCCTGTGCGGTCACTCATTCTATAAACACTGGATTACTTCCTTGAGATCAGCGCAGTTTTTCTAGAGGCTTAGTGACTGTGTAAATATACACAAAAACATTCCCTCTCTCACAGTTTTCTTTCATTTCCTTATCTTTTAAGCATATAGGGATGGACCAAAATAAGAAATCTCCTATTTTCAGAATATCCCCAGGATGCTGGCCTCTTCTTGACCATTCAAACCCAAACCAAGTTCATTCAGCCTAGAGTGAGTTTTTGCAGTACTGTAAAACAGCACCTGACACATAAAAGGTAGTCAGGAAGTATCAGGCTGGCCACAGTAGAAAGTACTTATGTTCTTCAAGAGAAATTCCCAAGTTCCTTAGGCAGTAGGTGTTGGGTTTACCCCTGCTCTCTTCCCCTCTAGACACTAGTCTATTAATAAGATTCCCAATTGTTTCCCAGCTTTTACTTCCTCTGAAGGAAGTTTGCCCACTCAGGTTACTCCCTGAGAATCTGAAGTAGGGTACGCCCCCCCCCCTCACCCAGACCTTTCACAACCCCATCTTATCACCAAAGGGCTCTCAATAAACAGAGCAAGGCACTTACCATCACTTGAAACTCAAACCAGATCCTCAGCAAGGCAATGTGGTGGGGAAAAAAGAAAAGTGGGAATAGAGGGATTGAGAAAGGGTCTCAAAGGCCAGAAAGAGGAATGGGAGAAAAAGCACCACACCAAGGGGCAGAGAACTAATTAAAATCCAGTCAACCAGTGCTGGGGCTTCGACGAGGTTCAGTGGTCTGCTCACTAAGCAGGAGTTTCCAATTCTGTCCAGATGGCTGAACAGCTGGAAGTTCCTGATGGAAGCCACACAGCACTGCGACCTCTGCATGATGTCTAACTCTATCCCAAGAACCAGGGACAAAACATCCAACAGACATGAAGACCATCTGCAAGCAATATCAAATGTCGCCCCTGAACAGGCAGGCATGCCTTGGGATGAACTGTCCAGTCCTGTGTTTCTATAAATATTCTTTCCCTAATTCTTCCTTCATGCCTACTGTTGATTCTTGGCAAAAAGTGCCAACATGCTCAGCCAAAGACAAATATAAAAACAAAACAAAACTGAAAAAACTAAGTTCTATGGTGAATTGGAGGGAAAATTTTTTCAGTAAAATAATTTGCTATCAGTAGGCTGACTGTCAAAGTTTTGTCAGCAAGACTTAACTTTTTTTAGGAAGGGTGGATCCCAGGCTGCCCCTCAGACTTGCTCTGTATTGGAAGATAACCTTTAGCTCCTGATCGGCCTGCCTCCATCTCCCAAGTGCTGAGATTATAGGTACATGGTGCTATGCCTGGTTTATGCAGATCTGGGCTAGAAGACGGCCTAGATCCAAGGCCTCATGAGAGCTGGGCAGGCATCCTGTCAACTGAACGATACATTCCCCAGCCAAAGAACCCATGTCTTTACAGGGGGAGGGGGAGGGAGGAAGGGAGAAGCAGGAGACAAAAAAAGATGTTGAGTGAACCATGTTCTTGTCATGATATAGGAAACTTCATTACTAACTAGAATCACTGTGAACCGAAGTGACAGGCAGAAATAACAAGATTGAAATGGCTTAAATGCCAACACCTGATAAGAATGTACACCTCTGCCTCAGACACTAGAATTCTATTTCCATGGTGAAAATTCCCTATTCCCTGCCTCACTGAACCTCCAAAATATCATTTTTGGTTCTCAAGGTAAGGTGTGCTTTTCCCCCTGCCAGCTACCTGATTCTCCACCAGCATGGCGATGTCCATAAACATGTCATGGAGCTCCTTGATGCTGCTCTCCAGCCTCACGATATCCTTGTGCCGACCCTCAATCTCACTGAGGGCTTGCTTGGAAATCTGCGAGTCGATGATCTACAACAGGCCCCATAGAGACAGGCCATCAGCGGCACTAGTAACAGACTGCCCCTGCAGAGCCCTCCCACCCCACATAAGCTCCGCCCCTGCTCAGCCGCAACTTCAGTGAAGCCAAGGCCATGAATCTCCCCCATGACCCTCGCTGTCCATGGTGCTCTGGTCACTCACCCCGGAAGTGAAGATGGAAGGGTTACCACTCTCCAACATCTCTTCCAGCTCCTCATCTGTTGTCTTCTTGCCAGCTTGGTAACAAAAGAAATAAACATCGAGTAGAAGACCAAAGCACAACTCCATCTGAAACTCCCTCCCAAACAAGCGCTGTCTCCAACAACCTACTGACTCTTCTGATTCCTCTCCCAAGTCAACCCTTCCTTAACATTATCAGCAGCCAACCCCCACCCTAAGCACGTACCCCATTACTTCTCAGCTCAGACTGCTTATTAGCCCCAACCACCATACCTCAGAGCCCAAGGCCCTCATGACAGGGCACAATTTGTGGGCAGCCCTCTCTCCACTTTACACTGCAGCTTCAAACACACCCTTCGTCCAACCCTGGACAAGCTGCCACTCCTAGACAAACACATCTGCTTTTTCTTGATAATATCTTTGCTCACACAGCTTTCCCCACTTGAAGCCATTTTCCTTGTGAGGCCTACCCTTCCACATCACTAAATTCCTAAACAATGTAACTTTATTAATTTTTTAATTCCTCACAGCAACTAGCACTACACATTTGTGTCATAAAATGTACTTTTCCATTTAGCAGCAAGACGATGCAATGAGTTCTCAGGAGAGCGGCTCTTTAGTGGGTGTCCCCTGCAGGCATAAGTATTGGATCCCATAAGAATAAAATTCCTTGGCTCAACAAATGGAACACCTTCCAACCTAGGATACCATATGGCAGATATACCAATGCCATAGCATCTGCCCTGGGTTTGAGCACCAAATAGAATGCAGAAGGCACAAGCAGCAGGATCACTGTTGCTTCTCCCAGGACTTGGGATGAACAACCACATAGCAAGAAAAGATAGGGATAGACACTGGCCCATCTTCAAACACATACTAATTTCAAGCTGCCGCTGGATGCGCCCTTTGCTTCGCTCACGGAAGTCCACCTGAGCCTCGTTGTATTTTGTCATCACCTCCACAAACTTCCGGGAGAGGACAGAATGCTACAGAAACAAAGTCAGTGAGCGGACCCCAGGAGATGATGGACAACTCTGCCCCACCCCAGCACAGGCTAGTCTGCAGCAGCCTGGGCTTGAAACCCAAAGACAAAATGGCAAACCCAGTGTTGCTCTCCTAGTTGGGAACTAGTTTGGGAAGAGTCCACTGCCACTTTCAATGTAGCCTCCACTACCCGTTTCCCCCTTTACTGAACTCACATCGTAACTGTTAGTCAAAAGGAGAAATCACTGAGAACCTGGGAGCCCAGCAGCAATGCCCCACCAGAGCCCTGGCTGATGTCACCCACCCTTCCCACATGTAAAAGACCCTGCAGTTCTTACCCCAGCTGATAATCTCAACATTTTTCTCTCAACAGACCTTCATAATAATCTTAATTCCTTGCCCACCTCACAGCATCAAAGCTCTACTGATGCCTTTTTTTTTAAACAAACGCACTACTTCCTCGTAAATTCAGATGAAATCATTGCAAAACATAGTAAGAGCCTCCCAGCCTCTTGCCTCTTCCCCACTCACATCCAAAAGGCTATTAAACCCCCCTAGCATGCTGTGTGGCCTGAAAAAAAGGACTGTCAGCTACTGAATCTGATCCAAATTCCCTAAACTAGTAAAGACCTTTGGAGGGTGACACTGCTTTCTCTGCTGGAAGGTCAGCATCTGCTACCCAGCAACAAACTCTTCTCTCAAGACAGGCTATTCCTGCTATAGCTGTCCTATACTCAACCCTCTGCCACCGCCACCATCTTCCCTGCCAGTTCCACCACGCCTCTGCTGCTGCCAACACGCACGTGTACAAACATACTCATCCCCGATCCTATTTCTTATTCCTCTCAAAAAAAGGAAACTCCGCCTCCTGAGCCTGTCTACAGAGGCACTCTTGCTTCCCCGAGGCCCAGTCTTCCCTAGCTACCCACAGTTCTCCATGAGATCTTTCAGTGACGAGTGAGCATGCACTCAGTTATGTCTTCTTCCATTGTTCTCCTGACCACTTAAACACCCTATCAAGCGCCTCCGTTTTTTTTCCTGTATGGTTTTTACTTTTTAGTGTTCTCACACTGTAGCTCAGGCAGGGCAGCCTTGTAGTCTTGACAGTCCTCCTGCCTCAGCCTCCCAAGTGTCGGGTTATGCTTTGTGTCAGTTCTCATAGAACAAGGACCGTGTTTCAATGGCTCCGAAGTGAACAACTACTAACAATAGTCTTCAGAAGAAAGACATCAGTTTCTCTGCCTATAAAACAAGGAGGCGCTGAGGCTGAGCTCTGAAGAATCTAGGGAAGTAATTTAAGTGCCTTCTTCTGAGTGTGAGAGAAGGCCAAAAGGGAACAATGGGCCCTGAGCACTGCTTCCACCTGGATGCTTCCCTTTCCCCAGTTCCTCAAACTGAGTTCCAAAACAACAGAATCACACCACTTTTTAATGCACAATAGCAAAAAATAATTAAAAGAGTGGCAAAAAAAATGACAGCTAAACCAGAAACAAAGTTACCTGGGACTTTCGGATCCTGAGGTCTGCTGAGGACCGGACATCATCTTCTTCAATATGCTTCTCCATACCTGGAGTGAGAGAGTTATCCTAGCAACACATCCATCCTTCCTCCCGCACAGCATCCTATCCATGCAGATCCCTTACCCATCCTCACACAGAGGGGCCATGAAGGTGGTCAACAGGGAGGTACGACTGCAAAGACCTAACATCTACTCCATGAGCTGGACACTTGCTCTCATCCGCCTGTGATTACCAAGTCTCTGCAACACAACTAACCGTGCAGTTCAGGCCATCAAGGGACTGAGGCGCTCACCCTTACCCAGCCATGGACTAGCAGCTTAACATGGGGAAAACCTTGTAACCGCCTTCAGCCACCTGTCCTCTTGTAAATAAAATGGAAAAGGTAGCAACACAAACTGAGCACCCTCTAGGTGAAATGCTTAGAACCAGGAGCGTCTCAGATTGTATCTAAATGTGGAATATTTGCATAGACAGAGCAGAGAGGACGTATTTGTGCTTCACAGACACCTTAGAGCTTGGAGATAATTTTGCACTATCTTTCTAGTGCACTTGGGAGGTTAGGTGTGAAATTTCTACTTATGGTGTCATGTGAATGCTCAAAAACATTTCAGATTTTGGAATATTTTTAATTTGGAAATTTTAGATTCAGGACACTCAACCTGAACCTCTTTAAAATACCAATGCAAAATTGAAATAGACTGTTTAGCACAGAGACAACCATATTATCACTATTTTCAGAAGCTGTCTTCCTTTCCATACCCATTAAAATAACTGTTGTAATTTACTGGATGGAAAAAAATAATACTACTTTCCTCTCTGACCAAAAATACATACTCAACAAGTACTTTGAATGGGAACACAGATTTCAGCTGTGGAAATAAGCAAGTATTTGGGGTTTCCTGGAGGATTGGGTCTATGATAGTGGCTTTACTGAGCTGCGCTCCAAAACCAGGGCAGGAGGCAGGAATGAGAAGGTACGCAGTAAGAAGTGTCTGCCGGCTGAACGACAGACCTGTAAGTCTCTGCAGTTACCTCTCAAAGGCACATGGTGCTGGGGAACCGGTAAGAAAGAATGGAAGGACTAAGCTAAAATAATAAAATGATACAGTGGAAAGCAGAAATATTTTGTTTTTGTTTGGGCTGGGTTTTTGTTTTATGTTTTGTTTTGTTGTTGTTTTGTTTTGCTTTTAAAGACAGGGTTTCTCTGTGTAACAACCCTGGTTGTCCTGGAACTCATTCTGTAGCCCAGGCTGGCCTCAAACTCACAGAGATGCGCCTGCCTCTGCCTCCTGAGTGCTGGGATTAACGACACACACCACCACCGCTGTAGCTTGGAAAGCTCATCTTAACTCCCACTTCCTAACTTCAACTACAGTGAGAATTCAAGAGGCAATAAATATCTAAGGATATAGTAAGTCAGTCCAGGAACAGTCCAAGCCTCCAGTAAGAATGGCACAAGTGATGTCACCCCCATTGAGATGACTGACAGATGAGAAGTGAGCCCTGAGAAGCTGCATCTGGATGTGGTGGAGACTGGCTTATTCCTGTGTTCCCTTCTTACTCTTCAGCTTGTTCCGGACATTGTTGGCCCTCTTCTTGATCTCAGTTGTGAGCTGTTCAAGGTCATCTTTGGTTTCTGGAGAAACAGAAGAGGTAGACTCGGTTAGAAAAGAGGACGCACTGCTCTGTGAGTTACAAAAATCAACAGCAAGGCAGAAGTTTTCTCAGACACCTGCTGGCACCATGATCTCATTGTGCTTTCCAGAATCCACCACACAGTCACAGGAAGATGGTTTTGTTTTTTCTTTTTTTCTTTTTCTTCTTAAAGCACTTTCAGACTAAGGGAAGGCACAGTGGTAGATCACATGCTAGCATGCACCAAGCCCTGGGTTCAATCCCTCACATCCAAAATAAATTACTAATTAACTAAATCAAAAGGCATTTTCCACGCATCCCCACCCCAGACCTAAAGAACCAAATACCCCAGGGTTAGAGCTTAGGATCTGCTTTATTTAATAAGCCTCCCCAATCCAAGTCACGCTTTTAGAGGAGTCAACTTGCTTGCCATGTGTGCTCAATCTCAGGCGACAGGAGAGGAGTCTATGGAAGTTCTGGGGAAAAGAAATTTCACCCAAAGCCCACCAACTTTAATGAGGCAAGTATTTCTGATGTATCTACTACATGCCCAGAGCTGACCCAACTGATGCATGGAGCACCATACTCTGGTGGGCTTATGGAACAAATTAAACAAGAGCTATAACCCTTCATTCCAGAACCATCATTCAGTTCCATTCATACCTGGAACTGAGAAACTAAGGGATCAAGGAAAAGCTACAGGTTCCACTTTCAAGGGGCTAAGCCTGGCAGGAGATGAATAGGGAGTTCATCAGAAGTCTTGATATGTAGCACAAGGTATAGTTTAAGTTCTGAGCAAGATGTGCATGGGATGGTTATGGAGAATCCCTAGCACAGCCTCAGGGATCGAGAAGAGCCCCCTAAAAGGCAGACAGGAGAACTGTGTCTCAACAACAACAGAAAAATAAAAAAATAAAATAATAAAAAATAAAAATAAAAAAACTACAGGTTAGTAAATGGTAAAAGAGTTAGTTAGTTAGTTAAAAAAATTATAGGTTAACTATGTAGCCAAGGGGATTAAGAGCAGGAATCCCAAGGAGAAAGCATGATATATAAAGAACATGAGGGAAGAACGAACAGTCAGAGGTTAGCATGAGGGAAGTACCAGCAGGATGGAGCAGGGGTGGCAGGAGAAAGGTGGAGAGGAAGGTGGGAACATGAGGAGACAATCCCCATATGCTCAGGAACTGGAGAACCACTGAGCAAAGTAAGGCAGGGAACAGGAGCAGAGAGTCCGCTTTTCTTAGGAACATAAAAGACAGTACTAAACTGTATTCTGCAAATATAAAACACCCAAGGGAACAAAAGGCTGCCTCAACAGCAGAAACAAATGCAAGGAAGAGACAGAAGGGACTTCGCCAACTCTCAGTTAAAAGAAAGAATGCAAGCCAAGTCACAGAGCTGGGACAGGGCTTGGGGTATAAGAGGAGCATTACCAGTCATGAGCGGTTTGACCCGGGAAGTTAAGGAGTTTGAATGGTTCAAGTGGGACTATGGAGAGAAGACCTGGTGGAGGCTGGGAACGAGAGCTCGGGGAGAGAGAAGAGAGGTGATCTGTGATGTGATATGTACATTAGCACAAGGGGATGTATCCACCCCCTTGCTGTTTCCAGAAGGGAGGAGAGCAGGCCTGTCTCAGCCCCAGTGCAAAGGGTCAGTACAGGGTGACTCCACTCAGTCAACACTCACTTGGCTCTGGAATCGGTGCAGATAGAATGACACTGTAGAGTTTCTTAGCTTCCTCCACACTCTCCGAGATCTTGTCAATGTTGAGTCGAGTTTCCTCAATCTACAATCAGAAAGACAACAGAGGAAAGAGTCCACACCTGAGAATAACGCTTAGCAGCGCTTCCTGCTTCAAGCTGTCCATCTTCTGCGTTTGTGGAAGAGGATGAAAAAAATGGCCCAGGAAGTGCCATGCCCACTGTCGAGGAAATTGGTCTATAAAAAACTGTCATTACAATCCACACTGCTCCTCCCTGGGAGGAAAGTAATCACTCACCTCGAATAGCAAGGTTCAGATCAGAGTCAAGAAGGTCAGGGAACCCATGGAGAATAACCAGGAGAGACAACTGTTGATGTGGGATTCCCCTCTGAATGCTGTGACTATGTTTCATTACCATTGGTTAATAAAGAAACTCCTTTAGTCTATGGCAGGACAGAATATAGTAAGACAGGAAGTCCAAACAGAGATAGAGGGAGAAAAAAGGCAGAGTCAGGCAGATGCCATGTAGCTGCTGAAGGAGAAAGATACCATAATCTTACCGCTATACCACAAGCCAATGAGTTAATTTAAGATGTAAGAGCTAGCTAGAAATATGCCTGAGCCATCAGTCAAATTAATTAATATAGTTTTGTGTGACTATTCGGGTCTGGGTGGCCAGGAAACAAAAAAGCAGTTCCTGTTTACAGATTTCCAATAGTTTATAGTTTTGTGATAAAGCACTATCAGCAACAGTACACATCAGCTCCATTCACAGGCACAGCTGTCTGCACACCATGGCCCCTGAAACAGATGTATATAGGGGGCAGCAGATGCAGAAGAAACCTCAGCACCCACTGTGCCTCTCTGCCTTATCCCAAAGTGAAAGGAACATCAGCACTGCAACAATTAACCAACAGGAAATTGACCACAACTCCTTATCCGGAGCTTTTTATACAGTGAATAGAAGCATTGCTGATGAAATAAGCCAACCCAAAAGCAGGCTTTTCAAATCACCACTAAATTTGAGGCTAATGCATCCCTTGTGCCTTTTTACTATCTGTTGGTTCTCAGACTATTTACCAATCATCTGTCAGCAATATGAAACCCTCGATAATACAACTTTAAAAATTAGTATCAGATAGCACAAGTCCAGGGTTCAGCTCCACCTCTTAGCATTTTATGACCTTGAACAAGCTTACAGCACATCAAGTACATAATGACATAATGAATGTTAGATGATAACAATAAATACCAACAGCAATAACAACTGCTCGTTGATTATACGCCAGGCACCAGGCTGCCCTTTAAAAGTGTGTCTCATTGAATCCTACAGCAATCTTAATGTAGTCACTCACAAAAATCTAAGAACATCAAGTCACCTACTCCTGATGGTAGGTGCTGCCAATTAGAATCACCACATGATATTAACCACAGTCATCTCACTGTAAGGAACAAGTTGCATTTGTCTGCTTCCATTTCCACGCATAAATGTGTGTTATGCGTACTTGCGTTTGCAAGAGTATGAACACATATGGGTGCAAATGCATGTGGAGGCCTGAGGTATATGTTGGGAATCATCCTCAATCCCTATGACACCTTATTCATCGAGGCAGGGTCATTCAATCAAACCCAGCATCCATGGACATGGCTGCTTACTCTAGGGATCCCTATCTCTGTCTTCCGAGGCTTAGAATTACAGGTGGATAGCACGCCTACGTGGCATTTGCATGGGTCCTGGGAATCTGAGCTGTGGTCTTCAGACTTGCATGGCAAGCACCTTAACCACTGAGCCATTTCACCGAGCAAGTGGTAGTTATTTTGAAGGCATCAAAGGCCTCTTCTCCTGAACCTAATTCTCCAATGGAATTGAAATGACAGAAAACAGAAAGTCCCGGCAGACTGTGGCTAGGTGAGTTGAAAGGCAAAGTGAGATGTTTTCTTCTGCTGCTTAAGAACTAGTCTTTGCCTCTCCTAAACTCCTAGTCCCTAAAGGGTTTTTATCATGACTTAGTTTTTCAGCTTCCTTTTATGGAAGTATAAAAAGTATGATCTCAGAAATTGACTGACCAATAAAAACAAGTTTTCTAAGAAAATATTCTCAAATCAACTAAGCCGAAACACTAATCTTCCCTAATCAGAATGTCAATCATAAAAAAAACAAACATGGTGGATAAAGGAAATACACTGTGGGTAGGATATAAATTAGTACAGCCACTATGGAAAACAGTATGGCAGTCCCTCGAAAAGCTAAAATCAGAACTGGTTTACGACCCTGCTGCACCACTCCCGCAAATACACATGGAGGAAATGATGTCAGCACGCAGTAGAGACAGCTCACACCCATGATGACTGTGGCAACAGTCACAGTTACCGAGACAGAAAATGAGCCCAAATACTTGCCAACTGATGAACAGATTCTTAAAATGTATGTATAGCAGAATATTGAGTCATAAAGAATAAAATACTGTCATTTATAGGAAAATTGATGGAACTAGGGGTCATCATGTTAAGTGAAAAAAAATCATATTAAAGTAGTCTCAGAGAGTCAACTAGGTATGTTTTCTTTCATACAGAATTTATACACACACACATAAATACACACACAGAAGAGATGAAGGTAGATGAAGCACTACTAGGAACTTAGAAGAAGGACCAAGTAGAAAAGGAAGGGCATAGTAGGGAAGGTGGCTTCAAACAGAGTACAGTATACAGATACATGTTATATAAATCTGCTAGTCTATATACTATATACATTTTACTGTAGCTCAAGCAAGAAAGGGCAAAGTGCAGGAAAGGAAATGGGACAGAGAGGTCAAAAAGTAAATCACCAAGTGACCAGCTTCACTCCTGGAAGAGCCTAGAAATCAGAATCTACCAGTTTGCCTACTTCCCTCTCATACAAATGCCCTACTGAAGGAGTTAAGAAGTTCTCAGCCTGCGGCTTTGACCTCATGCCTAGATTTCTAAATTATAATCACTTTGAAAGTGACAAAACTCAAGTCCAAGCAGCAAATTCCTGTGCTTCAAGATTGGTCCTCCTGTAGCTCCTACTGCTCCATCCACACACACCCTCCTAGCCAGCTCTAGAGAACTTGGCCTCTTCTGTAAGTACGACTCAGATGCTTCAAATGCCAACGCTGTGTTTCTCATCTCAGACTAACAGAAAAGACCTCACGATGCCAAATTTGCAGGGTCACTCTCTAAATGTCTGTTTGATGAATGTATGAATACAAGTAGCGTAAAGAAATAAACATGCTTGAGGTTGTGGGGAAAGTTTCAGTTGGTAAAGTGTTTGCCTTGTAAACTTAAGAAGCTGAGTTCAGTTCCCCAGAACTCAGATAAGAACCCAAGGTATAGAGAGAGGCATGTCTGTAATCCTAGCACTGGGAAGGCACAGACAGGTAGATGCCAGGTTAGCCTAACTGGTGAGATCTATGCCAATGAAAGACAATTTCTCAAAAGAGGTGGATATTTCTGAGGCTCACCCTGAGGTCATCCTCCAGTCTCCACACACAGATGCACAAACGTGCACAAGCATATACGAGAGAGAGAGAGAGAGAGAGAGAGAGAGAGAGAGAGAGAGAGAGAAATATGCTTTGTATCCCCAGCAAAATAGTCTCATTTTCTAAGTGCACCTATAATGAACTGAATGCCGTGCCCCCACAAATTCATACATTGATTATTTATTTATTTTTGTTGTTGTTGCTGCTGTTGTTTTGCTTCTTGTTTTTGGTTTTTCAAGGCAGGGTTTCTCTGTAGCTTTGGTGCCTGTCCTGGAACTAGCTTTTGTAGGCCAGGCTGGCCTTGAACTCACAGAAATCCACCTGCCTCTCCCTCCCAAGTGTTGGGATTAAAGGTGTGTGCTACCACCACCCAGCCAAACATTGATTCTTAATGTAAAGGAATTTAAATGTGGGGCTTTTGTGGGTTACTAGGTCATGAAGATGGATTCCTCATGAGTGGGATTAGCTGTCTTTGTCTATTTCCACTTTGTGGGACCACAGGAAGCTGAAATACTCTGCAGTTTAGAAGAAGGACCCCAACATAATCCAATAATGCTAGAACCCTGAACACAAACTTTTAGGCTCAAGAACCAAGCAAGAAAGTTTCTATTATCTACAGGCCATCCAAACTATGTACTTTGTGATAGCAGCCCAAACTAAGGAAGACTCCCCAAAAGAAAGCTTTAATGATACATTTTCCACTCAACCTTACTAATAAAAGCTCCACGTCAGGTCTGTGAAAGGTAAACACCGAGAGAGCCTAGAAAGCAAGATTCTTCACTACGGGACTTCTTGGAGCCTTTAGGAAGATATGTGCACTCTAAATATCTGAGAGACGGACAGCAAAATGGCTCAGTGGGTAAAGAGACTTCCCGTCACCCAGGTTAGATTCCTCGGGCCCCTGTGGCCAGAAAGAACCAACTCCCTGAAGTCAAGTCATCCTCTGGCCTATACATGTACAGAGGCATATATATATATATATATATATATATATATATATATATATATATATATATACACACACACACACACACACACACACACACAAAATAAATGTAAGTAAATTAAGAAAACAGCAGTATCTTTAAACAAATACATTTCTGACAGAAAAAAAGAAAATTTCTCAAATACATGATCACAGAGGTTTATGGCTTCTTACATTGCCATCCAGAATGAGTACTCTTATTGACCAAACAGCCACGCCCAACTCCTGCCCTGCTGCTTAGTAACCCAACCAATATCACCCTATGGGAATCATTGTATAACTGATCCCACTTTACAGATAAGGAAAACAGGCCTGGCAGGCTAAATCAATAGCTGGTCAGAAGTGAACGGAGATCTGAACCTAAGGATTCTCAGTTCCGAAGCCAGCATTTCTGGTCTTGATACACTCCTGCCCCCCCCCCCACCATGCTTCTACTACTCCATATTGCTGTAATTCAACCCTGTAAGGCCCTCTTCATGCCCAAAGTACACATGAATCTGTAGGCACATGTGACTTTACAAACACAAGCCAGTAGCATCTTGTTCTCTCTATCACCACTAGAATTAAGACATTTAGGAAAATTATAAGAAACAACAAATTTCACCAATATGAATCAAAGGCCTAAAGAAGCAATAATTTGGTTTTACTCCTAGCTGTGGCCCTAAGGTTGACAATGTATTTATATAATTTTAAATAAGAAAAGACATCATTAAAATGTTGTCATGCTTCTTGCCAGCCCCATAATGGCTCCCCCAATCAAAATATCTCTTTCCTTGTTCTCATCCCTCTCCATCCTCGATCTCGACTATCCCATTCCCTCAAGTTCTCCTCCCTCCCCTTCTCCCCTCCTCTTCCTCTTCTGCCCTCCCTTCTCCCCATACCCCCAGGCTTCTAATTTTGTCAGGGGGTCATTTCTATTTCCCCTTTTCAGGTGGATAAATATATGTTTTCCTTAGGGTTCACCTTATAACTTAGCTTCTCTAGGGTCATGAACTATAGGCTTATTATCCTTTGCTTTACAGCTAGTATCCACTTACGAGTGAGTACATACTATGTTCATCTTTCTGGGTCTGGGTTACCTCACTCAGGATGGATTTTTTTTTCTACCTCCATCTATTTGTATGCAAATTTCAAGACGTCACTGTTTTTTACTACTGAGTAGTACTCCATTGTGTAAATGTACCACATTTTCTTTATCCATTCTTCAGGTGAGGGGCATCTAGGTTGCTTCCAAGTTCTTGCTGTAACAAATAATGCTGTTATAAACATAGTTGTACAAATGTCCTTGTAGTATGAGGAAGCCATTATGGGGCTAGCAAGAAATCTGACACTAGAGAAATTCCCAGGTATCCACAAGGATGACCCCAGCTAAGACCTTAAGAAATAGAGCAAAGGGTGCCTGAACTGGCCTTGCCCTGTAGTCAGATTGATGAATATCATAAATGTCACCTTAGAACCTTCATCCAGCAACTGATGGAAGCAGAGGCAGAGACCTGCAATGGAGCACTGGGCTGAGTTCCTGAAGTCCAGTTGAAGAGTGGGAGGAATGAGAATATGAGCAAAGAGGTCAAGACCATGATGGGTTCACCCACTGAAACAGTTTATCTGAGCTAATGAGAGCTCACCAACTCTAGCCAGACAGGAAAGGAACCAGCATGGGACCAAACTAGACCCTCTAAATGTGGGTGACAGTCATATGGCCGGGACAGACTGTGGGGCCATTGCAGTGGCACCAGGATTTATCCCTACTGCTTGTACTGGCGTTTTGGGAACTCATTCTATTTGGATGGATTCCTTGCTCAGCCTAGATATAGTAGAGAGGGTCTTGGACCTTCCCCAAAGCAATGTGCTTACCCATTCTGAGGAGTGGATTGGATGGAGGAGGGGGGTGGGAATGGGAGGAGGGAAGGGAGTGGAAACTGGTATTGGTATGTAAAATGAAAAAAAGATTGCTTTCCTTTTTAAAAAATATAAAAAAAAAACTTTAAAAAAAAGTCATGTACTTAAGACTTCTCAAGTCTATCTTCAATTATATATAATTTACCCTCTGCTTACCTTTTAAAAATTGTTTAGTTATTTATTTTATTTTATGTGTATGAGCATTTTGTCTGCATGTATATGATGTGTACAAGGTGCAAGCCTGGTGCCCACAGGGGCAGAAAGAAGGCACGGGATTCCTGGCATTGGAATTACAGATGGTGTGAGTCACCACGTGGGTGCCGGGAATCAACCCTGGCTCCTCTAGAGCAGTGGTTCTCAACCTTCCTAATGCTGTGACCTTTAATACAGTTGCTCACGCTGTGGCGACTCCCAACCATAACATTATTTTCCTTGCCACTTTATAACTGTAATTTTGCTACTGTGATGAATCACCATGTAAATACCTGTGTTTCCCACTGGTCTTAGGTGACCCCCGTGAAAGGGTGGTTCAGCCTGGGGTCCTGACCCCCAGAGTCAGAACTGCTGCTCTTGAAGTACAGCAAGTAGTCTTAACCACTGAGCCATCTCTCCAGCCTCTGTCTCCTGACTTCCTTAGTAAGATGTAAAGTCTAGATACTCCCAAGAATTGAAAACAGAATCTCCCTGGAACAATTCTGCCTGCCCATCTGTTCCCTTGCCAGCACTGAAAGATCTGAGGTTTCTTTATTCTTACTGAGGAAACTGTGTTTCCTTGTAGACATTCAGGAAAAAAACCACAGGAAGGCTGCCCACCTCAGAAAAGAACTCATCCATGAAGGCTGTATTGTCGATAGCGATCTCAACGTCCTCAGTGTCGTCATCCTGTGTCAGCTGCTTCTGTAAGAGACCAGAGCAGGCCAGAGTGAGAAGAAAGACACAACCAACAGCCACTGTTATTGACAGAGTTATATTTAAGCATACATACACACATAGACAAGATACATAGATAGGTGATAGACGCATGCATGCCTATGCATCTCTCTATATATAATTATATCATATATAATTTTCTTTAAAATGAATAAAAATTTAATTTGTCTGTAATTAAATCCAAACTCTACCACCTCTTGACTTTGTACAAAGTAGGAAGGAAGGGACAAGCAAGTTACTACTCAGCTTGTTGAGCCTGGGGTTCCTTAACTGTCAAAAACTAATAGCACTACTTTATAAAATTAGCTAAGAAATAAGTGAGATTATCTGGGCCATAGTACCTTTAAACCTACCCAGTACTGAGGAGGCAGAGGCAGATGGATCTCTGAGTTTGAGGTCAGCCTGGTCTACAAAGCAGTTGGGTAACATCACAGATACAAAGAGGAACCCCATCTGCCAAAAAATCATAATAAACAAATGAGATAATGAACACATAACATCTGCACAGGATCTAGTATGCTATATACTCAACATTAGGGCCTTGGTTGTTCATTTGTCTTGTTTTGCTTTATTTTATACTGGGGGAGGGGGGGTGTCAAAACCTAGGACTTCACAGGAACTAGGAAGCCGGGCGGTGGTGGCGCACGCCTATAATCCCAGCACTCGGGAGGCAGAGGCAGGTGGATCTCTGTGAGTTCGAGGCCAGCCTGGTCTACAAGAGCTAGTTCCAGGACAGGCTCCAAAACCACAGGGAAACCCTGTCTCGAAAAACCAAAAAAAAAAAAAAAAAAAAAAAAAAAAAGGAACTAGGAAAGTGCTCTGTCACTAAACTCCACAGCCAGACCAACCTTGTTGCTACTAATGGTAGGATTTCAGTAATTTACTCTATCTGTAGAACCTAAAACTAAGAAAGGTTTAGTAGCAGGCAGATTCTAACCCTACAAAAGCTGTTTAAACAAGTTCCAAGCAGTTCCTTCAAAGCCTGAGCTGCTGAGCCTCACAGCTGGAGTAAAGATGTTCCTGTGTTTAGAAACCACCTACTGCAAAGAAGAGCGTGCTGTTCCCTATCCGGGAAGGAAGTTCTTCCCCAGGTGCAAACCTTCTCAACCTCATTTGCCTTCCTCCTCAGAATTACAAAAGGGCTAAGTAGAAGTGACTCCATTCTCACCCAGCAACAAAAGCCTGCTCTGTTTCCACATTCCTCCTGACTGCTCTCTCCCAGACCAGGGCTATACAGGGACTGCTGGCTTCTAAGCACTCAGAACACTGACCTTTGAGAGTGGAGCTGGGGCAGAGGAGCCCCTACACTGGCTTCATCATGCCCTTCAACAGCATTCAGCCTTCTACACCACCCTCAACGGTTGGAAACTCCACCAGCAAAGGAAAGGGCCAGGCCCACATTACCTGTCACCGCCCCCACAAATCTGAACAATTTCCACAGAAATTTGTGGCCCTGGGAAATCTCTCCAAGGGTCTTCCCAGCAGCTGATTTTCTGTCTGCTCTGAGACAGTCAGCTCCCAAACTCAATAGCTACCTTCAAGAGAGGGGCTGAATCTGAGGGTCCTCCTACTCAGTCCACCGCTATCTCCTAAAAAACTCAACTGATTACATCCTCCTGACACCCAAGATCATATAATGACAGCTTATTTCCTAGGACCAAAATCCCTCTACCCAAAACAGCACACAAGGGCCTTTAAAGTCCAGCCACAGGCACATTCTCCCCCAGTGCATTCCTGAGATCAACCACTTGAGAATCCTTCCAGTCCCTAGACACATCCTTCCCTTCAATGTAATATCTTTCTTCCCATGCTGCCACACAGGATTCTAACCAAAAATACATCTGTCCAGTCATCTTCAAATTCACTTCAGACATCCTGATACCTGTCTCTCCCATGCAAAATTCAAAACCTCCCCTAAACTCCTGCCACTCTGTAAAGACCCTCCATAGCAACCACCATAGCCTACTGTCATCAGTGATCATAAATCCCCGGAGATCAAGGTTACCATGCGTATCTGTTAGAATACATTCATTGGTGTGTCTGCCTGCCAGCCCAGCGTCCCTTCCAGGGAAAGCTCTTTCACCCTTCCTACCTGATTTTGGGGAGGCCATGGGATCACTCAAGCTCCCTAAGGAATCTGTGCTGTGAGAAGAGCCTGAAGGGAATGGAGCCTAGTGAACCAATGGCGGTATCCTCCTCTCCTGAAGGGAATGGAGCCTAGTGAACCAACGGCGGCACCCTCTTCTCCTGAGCCCCACTTCCCTTGACTGCAGGCAGAATCTGCAGATCTCCCCTTGTATTCTTCAGTTAGCTCAAGGGCTCTGTTGCTCATGAGCCTTATCATCTGCAATCAAAGGGCAACACCATAACTGCTGTAGTGGTATTTGAATAAGAACAGCCCTCATAGGCTCATATATTTGAATGCTTAGACATCAGGGAGTGGCACTATTTGAAAGGATTAGAAGGGCTGGGTGTGCCCTTGTTGAAGGAAATGTGTCAAGGGAGCTAGACTTTGAGGTTTCAAAAGCTTATACCAGTCACCCTTTCTCTCTCTCTCTCTCTCTCTCTCTCTCCCTCTCCCTCTCCCTCTCCCTCTTCCTCTCCTCTCTCTCTCTCTACAGATCTGGACATAGAACTCTCAGCTACTTCTCCAGCACCATGTCCGCCTGAGTGCCACCATATTCCCCACCATGATCCACCATGATGATAACAAACTAAACCTCTGAAACTGTAAGCAGGCCCCCAATTGAATGTTTTCTTTTATAAGAGTTGACTTGGTCATGATGTCTCTTCACAGCAGTAGAACAGTGACTAAGACACCTGTCAATAATTCATTTCATGTTTCCCAGTATTTAACAGAAATTGAATCGCTTTGAGATGAATGCATTCACAGTAGCCTGCAGCCTCAATTCACATATCAGTTTCTAATGTTTGAGACAAAATGTTCCATTACTCAAACACCCAACCTTCTCAGAGGTCTCAACAGGATCTTCTCTCCAGGGAAGATGCCTGCATATTTCCTTGAAAACACAAAGTCATTCTTTCTCGATGAAGTTAGTAGGCTTTGGTCAAGAACATCCTTTTTTAAAGGATTTACTAATCTGCTTTGCCTGCATGCATGCCTGTGTAACACTTGCATATAGTGCCCATGGACAGCAGTAGAGGACATTGTATCTACTGGTACTGGAGTAACAGACAGCAGTGAGCCACCAAGGATCGTTTCCAGAAGCTGGAAACAATGGCCACTTAATGGTTATTATAACATGAGCTTCTAAGACTAGATAGTGCACAAGGACTGCCAAATGCCCAGAATGGCTCTCGGCTTTGAGCAACTTGAGACAAATGGCCGGTCCACCTGTGAGAAAGTGAACTAGGAAAAGAAAAGATAGTCCTTGGTGACCTACAAACTCAGTCCAGCACCTGTCACCATTCAAGCTGTGAGACCTCGCTCAGGCACCACACATGCCTAATTTTTTTAAAAACGTTGTTGATACTAACACCACACACTTTATTACTTATATGACAACTGAAGAAATCACATATGGAAATCTTTTAGCACAATACCGAGCTCCGCCCCCTAACCAGCACCTGCCAGGTGTCAATTTCCACATCACCTAGCATTAAAGATGTAAGCATAGAAAAACAGAACCCCTGTGAGGAGGAAGAGACCATCCCCGTCCCCTTCCTAAAGGCTGCAACTGTAAGATAGTTCTGCTGGGGCAACATAAACCAGGATTATAATGTGGTCCTATCACATGATAGTTACTGAACCCCTAAAACATGGTTTAACATCTCTGAGCCTCCTTTCCTTCATCTATAAAGCAGAAACTATGACACAGGACCTTGCTTGAGTAGCAGGCTCTGTGCCACTGCAACAACCTGCCCAACCACTTCATCTCTTTTCCAATCCAAATATCTCCCATATATAATATATATAATGTATCACTGGACAAAATCAAAGTTCTGCTCTTTAAAATGCTTTAGAAGATGACTATGCCTGTCTTAAGAGTCACAGTCTCCCTGTTTGGTACCAAGCACTTTCTGTCACAACCAACCTGATCCTACATCTCCTGCACATGTCATGTTTACTCCTGCTACTGGGCTTTCTACCAGTACCATGGTCCTTCATGGAGCTCGTGTGTGTGTGTGTGTGTGTGTGTGTGTGTGTGTGTGTGTTGGTTTGAATAGGTATGGCCCTCACAGACTCGTGCTAGACTCATAGAGGGTTGCACTATTAGAAGGTATGGTCCTGTTGGAATAGGTGTGGCCTTGTTGGAGGAAGTGTGTCACTGTGGAGGCAGGCTTTGAGGTCTCAAATATGTTGGCTGCAGATCAAGATATAGGACTCTCAGCATGTCTGCCTGCATGCTGCCATGTCCCATCATGATGATAATGGACTAAATATCTGAAACTGTAAGCCAATACCAATTAAATGTTTTCCCTTATAAGAATTGCCATGGTCATGGTATCTCCTCACAGTAACAGAAACCCTATGACTCTGTGTGTGTGTGTGTGTGTATATGTATAGTGACTGTATATGTGTATATACATATACATATAGTAGTGACTACATATGTATATATACATATATAGTCATAAATATGTAAATAGACATATAAAGATACTGTGTAATGTATATAGTGACTATATGTCTAATTGTATATGTATATAGACATAGTCATATATACATTATATTTATAGTGTCTATATGTCTATATGTGTGACTGTGTATGTATATACATGTTATATTGCATTATAGTGTCTATATACTATATAGTGTCATTATAGCCACTATGTATACATTATGTAGTATATACATAAATGAGCTCAATAAAGCTATATAATCTATATATAGACTATATATAATGCACATATAACATATATGTGTATATGTACATGTGAATATATTTGTGTGTGTATATGTGTGCGCATATATGTGTGTATGTGTGTGTGTGCTCAATAAAGCA